CCACAAACAGAATCCTTTAGGAGGGCCTCCCACCCTGTAATAGTGGTATAATATGGTATAATAGGAACATAATAGGAATATAATAGGGCCCTAATATAATCCCTAGACCCTAAACCCTAAACCCTAGTCACTATTACAGGGTGGGGGCAGCTTCTAAGGGATCCTTACCATCGCTCGTGGCTTCGTGACTTCTCTCGGACTCGAGCTTAGGCTGCTTCCAGGGACCAGGATGACGGAAGCTGTACATGGGTAGTTGTCAAAATTAAGGTACCCTTTTGGATTCACTTACCCAAAAAGGGACCATAACTCCGACAACTACCCACATGAGGTTGAGGGTTTAGGGTTGGGGGTTTTAGGGTTGAGGGTTTACGGTTTAGGATTCAGGGTGAACTCTAGAAGAACGAGACCTACAAGCGCTGATGCAGACCTGACCACAAACCATGAATCCGGGGCTCCGCACAAAAACCACACGTTTTGGGAGATGCAGGGGTTTGGGGTGTAGAACGTAGGGTTTGGGGAAAGCCCTAGTCCCTAAACCCTAAACCCTAAACCCTAAACCGTAGTCTAGTTTGTAAGGCTCCTGCATTAGCGAACCTGGGGCTTAGAGTGGCAGGACCTCTCCAGCCCGCAGTTCGACTCCAATTGCATCACGCCAGGTGCCGCCAGTGAAATCTCAGGGTTCAAGCGGTGTCATCGCGGATTATAGTACATTATAGTACATGATGGCATATGAATCTAGTATAGCATATCGTCGTACATTATAGTAGGTTATGGTATATGATTCTAGTATAGCGGATTATGGTACACTATAGTGCATTACGGTATATGTTTCTAGTATAGCATACTATAGTACATTATCGTATTGATATTTATTAAGCCCGTGTTTGGGGTTGAGGGTTTGGCTTCGGGTCCTGGGTTCTATCCTTCGTCCTCTCGTCGGTCCAGGCACGGAGTTCATGTTCAAGTTGACGACCCACCTGCGCTACTTCATCTGCAAAAAGATCCAGGAGCTGGCGAGCCTGTTGGGGATTCACCCACCCTGAGCCCTACACCCTAAACACCTTCAACGAAACGCCATAAACCAGTATGACATGTTGGATTAAACTCTAAACACTAAACCCTAAACCCTAAACAAAAAAACTCTCAGCGACAAGCCCTTTGAGCCGGGTCGAAGTCCCACTTTGGCAAAGGGCTATGACACTGCATGGCTTGAGGTCATAGGGACCCCAAGGGGTAGGGTACTATGCTGACCGCCCTAAGGGACCTCATGAGTCTTGCGTGTCGTTTTCGATCATTTTCTTTGCGTGTTCTGGCAGCACAGCAGCTCCAGTTGTGGACCTGATATGAGAGTTTCAGATGTACCGCTGACCAAGCATAGAATCCAACAAAAAGGGGGGGCCCCTACTTTAAGGATCACCGCAAAACGCACTTCTAAGATCCCCTCGTATGTCGACATGTGATCCGGGCTTTGCGCCCGACATGTTCCGGAGCCCAAGCTCTAAAATCACCCCGCCAGCGGGGTCATTTGGGTTGAAGTTTCAGGGTTCTGCACTAAGCCTTTAAACCCTGAACTCTAAACCCAACTCCCCAACACCCCAAATTTCCCGCAACCCTAAACCCTAAACCCTACCCCGCTTAAACCCCCACCTCCGAAGCCGTAAGTCGGAGGAGGATCCGCGCTGGCAGCAGGCTGGTGATTTTCTGCACTCCGCAGAGATCCCTTGTTTAAGTTCATATCCTGGGCTCGAGGATTTAGCGCTGGAGGGTGGTTTAGGGTTTCAGGGTTTGAAGCAAATGGTTTGGGACAAGGTTGAAGGACTGACGGCTTTAGGGTTGAAGGTTTAGGGTTTATGGTCTTCCGCAAGAAAGTCTCAAGTTGAGCATCTAGACCTAGATAGTAGCTCAAAGTGAAGTCTATCGGGCCACATTGAACTTCCAAGGGGCAGATCCATGCGAGGTTTCCTTAGGAGCCTCGAAGGGAGCCTCAAGGAGAATCTTGGATATGGATGCTTCGTGTTGAACCAGACTGGGCCACATAACACTCCAGTGTGTGTTTGTGTATATCTGTATGTATGCATGTATGTATGTATTTGTATTATATGTATATATACACACTCGTTCATACAGATGCATGCGTATATAACACACACACACATACGTGAACATTTTTGTGTATGTGTGTATTCATATATGTATGCACGCATGCATACTTACCTTCATACCTGTACTAATTTCAGGTTTCCGATTAAGGTTCTGCCTTTTGTGGTGTAGAGCTTTCGGGTTTTAGGGAGATCGGTTTAGTCTCTAGGGCTTCAGGGTGTAGGGCTGTAAGGTTCTTGGCCCCAAATCCTGCACTGCCTATTTGCGAGCCGGCTTACACTTCAATCACTTCGCAGGTCAGTGAGACTAAGGTATCTCTTCAAGTGTTATATAAAGAATGAGGGTATTTTGCATATTATACATATATCTACTCTAGCGAGCCACAGTCGCCGATCCTGGTTGTTCACATTGCTGCCCATTTTTGCCTGCAGCCGTCAGGTGACGATTGTCCTGTCGGGCCCGGACACGCCGGGCGAAGGCGAGCACAAGATCATGGATTACATCCGCGCCTCCAAGGTCCCCCATGGGGTTTTCAAGCTGTAGTAACCCTCGATCACAAGACCGTCTCTGCCGCCGTCACGCCATCATCGTTAAGGTTATGGTCACGCTCATCAGCTCTTCACCGTCACCAACATCACCTTCACAGCCGCTCACCACCATAGCCACCACGGCCACCACCGTCACAGCTACCATCATTATACCATCATTATCGTGCTCACGAGTATCATCCGGAGCGGCCTTATGGTCCTCACCACTCCTGACAGCATCGTCATCGTTGTCGTCGTCGTTATTCTTATTAGCCTTACAAGCATCAGCATCATCGTCAGAATAATTATCATGATCTGCGTCCTCACAACTGGGACAACAGCGAAATCATGAAGACCACTTTCCTCACGATTTCAATCATAGTAGAACCAGCACTGGTGACTTAGATTGATGGCTATGTTCATGACGGTGATGGTGCTTCCTATGGTTGTAACGGTGAAAAGTCGCTTCTGTTGGTGATGCCGATGCCGATTTCATTGTCATCTTGGCGTGACTTTCTACTTTCACGTTCGTTGCTTTTGTGAGCGCTGGCAAGGAAGGGTGTGATGGTCATGTTGAAGATCATGGTAACGAAACAAGGAGGAGCAAAAGACGGGCAAATAAGAGGAGGAGGAAGAGGAAGTGGACGTGGAGGACGAACAGCAAGAGGAAGCGGACGACGACGAAGAGGAGGAACAGGAACAGAGTAAGAGGAAGAGGAGAGGACGACGATGGCTAGTGCGGGGAAGTCCATGCAACGCCGAAGTTGCAGCAGCAACGAAGCTTACAACTAGTTCCTCTAATCCCGACACCCCCTTCAATCGGTTGCGGTCGCAGTGAAATGGACTGCTTATCTGTTGGATTTACAGCCGTTTTTTCGTACATTTGATACCCCAGCCAGAAGATGCACGCAAACCTACAAGTCTCATATCCGGAGAGAAACCAGAAGAGATGGACGTGTTAGCCAGAGCAGAGCGCACGACCACCGTACATCCGCAGCCCTCTACTACACCCATTACATTCAAGACCCTCAACCTTAAGACCCTAAACCTGGAGATCATAAACCCTCTGCTCCAGGCACAGCCAGACTACGACCCGAACACGCGGCATTGCCTCTACGGCCTGGACGCAGTCGCCTGGCCTAAGGTCGGGTTTAGGGTTTAGGGTTAATTTTGGGTTTTATGGAGATGTTGTCGGTTTAATGGGTGTGTTGGGGTGTCCGAATGGGTCTTATAAGGGTTTGTATTGGGCTTTAAGCAAAACTTATATACAAATGAAGGTTTCTTAAACTGGTTGTCTCGACTTCTACTATTCCCGTCTTTATTAGGGCCCAGGATCCAGGATTCCATGTCTAGACGGTAAGGGTAGGCGGAGATGTTTGACTGAAACCACCAAAAGCTCTCTCAAGACAAACTTCAAGACCCTGCCAGGACCGCTACATCCCCCACGAAGCCTTAACACGCCTTTGTGAAATCATTAAAGTACAACCCCTTTGACAGCCCTTATAAACGCGAGTGCCGACGTCCCTAGGATCTGATCATGCTGGCGCTCGCTTCCCACGAGCTTCACTTCGCGCTGCTTCGGGAGGAGGCTCAGAATATGGCGGGCGTTAGGGCTTTAGGTTTGTAAGGCTCTGTTGAGGATGGCAGGAATTCTAGGATATCGATTTTCCTGGTTGAGGGCTTCAGAGTTTCAGGGTTCGATGGGGACCTTCTCGGATCAGGGAAGGGCTTTGGCTAGCTTACCACTGCCGTCAGAGGAGATGAGGCTTGAAACGGCGGCTCTACGTCAGGGTTAGGGTTTAGGGGTTTCGGTAAAGGGTGGGTGAAAAGCATAAGTTTAGGACTGAGAGCGTAGGTTCTATGGTTGTCCTGAGTCTCAGCCACCCGCGTCGTACCCGAAAATCTAAAGGCCTATAACCCCTCTTCCCGATAGAAGCCCACTCAAATCCTGTTGAAAGCTGCAGAAACGGAGGAGCCATCTAAACCCCTTGATTCGAAACCGAAAAGTGGACAGCATTATTCCAAATCCCAGGAAGGCGAAGTATAAGGAAGTCTCACACGAAGCATCCGCAATCCATGCTTCCATTTCAGAGCTTCGACCTCAAACCTTATCCCCTATAAAGCCTTATCAGACTGTAGCCCCGCGGCGTATCCCAACTCCTCATTATCTTCAGATCTGGCCTGACCATCAGAGCGGTCAGGAGCCTTGCAGGGCTGAGTTTGAAGGAAGCAAAGGGCAAGCTAGAGTCTTGACAGAATTTTGTGCTTGAAGCTCCTGAGCCCCTCCTTCTTTAAATGGCCGCAGTGAGGGCTCGAGCAGGATTGCCAGAGCATTTTTACCACACAGTCCCAGCGCGGGGCGGAGGCGTAGCCATGACCAGCGAGGAGCTGCTTGCGCAGATCGAGGCCACCAAAGCGCGAGTAGAAGCAGCACGGGCAAGGAACCGAGAACTCGACGCCGAGACCGCTGCCGCCCTCAAGCGGCAAAAGCTGCGTCGAGAGCTGGAAAGGCATCAGGCGATTCTGGACGATCTCGAGACAGACAATCTCGACGAGCAAGACTACAGAATAGACATTGATGCGGACCGGGATGGAGATTGGATGCGCGACACACCAAGCGCCATGACAGCCAAGTCGCCTGGGCTTAGTGGTGGCTCCATCGATTTCGGTCACCAGATCGTAAAAGGAGAGTACACCTGGAACCTCGTTGCGATGTCGTGGCTTCAAACAGCGCTTCGCCAAAATGAAAATCAGAGAGTGGTTTCTGGAGATTTCTTTGTGGACAGGTACAGATTCGACTTCAGCTACAGTCCGTCCAGAGGCCATCGCATCGATGGCAGTGACACGAGAGTCGGCTCTGTTGCCATCCGATCATTCCCCCCAAATCCAGTTTTGCCTCTTGCGTTTCGCTACAGCATCTTTGTCGAGAGACGGGACGGGTCCTTCGTCCAGTGGGGTGAAACACGGGATGAAGTGCGGCGTGGTAACTCGGTTGAAGTCTATGGCCCGGATGTGCATGCAGAGGGCTCCCCTCCGTCAGTGATCGGAATCTTCGGCCTGACCCACGAACAGCTTCTGCGATCGGAGTGGGTGAGGGACAACACTTTGAGTTTGAAGTTCGTTTTGGAAGTCCGTCCGTTTGGAACCCGAGTGACCAATGTTCCATTCAGACAGCCTGCGCAGTCTGTGGATGTGCCGGAACCGACACTGCATCGTGATGCAGAAGCTCTGCTCGAGGAAGCTAGCAGCAGTGACGTGCTCTTCAGCGTGCAGGGCGAGGAAATCCACGCACACTCACAAGTTCTCTGTGCGAGGTCGGAGGTGCTCAAAAAGCAGCTGAACTCAGGAATGCAGGAGTCAGTGTCCAAAATGATCATGGTTGAAGACTGCAATGTGGCCACCTTCAAATCCTTCTTAAGGTTTCTCTACACTGACAAGCTTCCGACTGTCGCGGACCTTGCAACAGAGCAGGCGAGCCAAGCTGTGAAGCAAGTCGGCAGTCGACATCCCTCACAGATGGAGGCATTGTGGGCTGTCAGCCATAAGTATCAGGTGGGGTGTTGTCAAAGATTTCGTCGCACAACACAGGTTTATGTGAATCAAGTATTCATGCTTATGTATCGCCGCACGCGCACAGACACGTACATGCATACATAAACACACGCACACACACAGGCATATGTCTATGTCTATGTATATGTACATGTATATGTGTTTGTATATGTGTACACATATGTGTATACATATGTGTATGTGCTAGCCCCAAAAGCCCAACTGGCTCATCTCCCGAGATCATGCTCCGTTGCCTAGCACGCTTTGCCTAGCATGCTCCCTTTTGGCTTGCTTCAGTTGACCTGGCCTGAGTATGTTGTCGAAGATGATCTCCGAAGATATCGCCCGACGCCTCGTAAGTCCTAATTCGTAACACCTAAATGAAGTCTTGTACTTGGTCTTGGATCTTCCGTATGTGCAAACAACGTTTAACACGCGTCGCTGTAAGTTTCGGGTATCTTACAGGAACATCTCCAGCAAAACCCCAACCTAAGTTTCGGAAGCTTGTCGTTTTCCCCAAATGTTCAACAGGTGCCGGGCTAAGTTAAGAGCTGCGGAGGTTATGGAACCCAGGAACCTCCGAAGCTTAAGGCGATACCTTCTGAAAGGTTTGGGCAGGGTTTCGATTCTCGGTCTTGCGCCCGTCCTAGTGAACACGGGCCATGTGAATTAACCCGAAGGCCGAGAATAACACAAAAAAGCAAGAGTTGCAGGAAACTCTTGCGCTGGATCTTGGTTCCCGGGCTTGGGCCCGTGTTAACTAACAGGGGCCACGAGGCCAGGAACCAAGAACCCAGAATCAAGATTCCCGCCAAACTTGTGACCCGGATCTTGGTTCCCATGCTTCGGCCCGTGTTAACTATGATATACTCGTGAACCAGGCGTTGCGCTAAATTTTTTCCAAATGTTTCCAATGTTTCTGTATTTCTTGGTTCTTGATTCCTGGGCCCATCTTGAATGATACGGCCTGTGTTACTTTTCACGGGCCCACGCGAGTGAACCAAGATTCGCCGGGAGAGTTTTCCGGAAGTCTTGGTTGCTGGTTCATGGGCCCCGTGTTAAGTAACATGGCCCATGTTAACACGGGGTCAAACTAGGCGGCCTTGAAGGCATGTTAGGCGGTGTGTTTTCGACTTTGGTTCCTGTGCTGCAGAAGACTGGAACTGTGCAGCTTTTCGCTACTGCGCACACATTTTTGGGCTTGTTGGTCGATTTTGCAGCGTGGAATTCGGCAAGGGTCCAGTAAGGATTATTCCGTTCCTGCCATTTGCGAAGACCCAGTGAAAAGCAGAATAATCGTTTACACACCTACCTGTAAGTAACGTATACATACCATGCTGGGGCACATCGGGAGTTGGTCGGCAAGGCTCCGCGCAGTCTTGATACTTGCTCAGGTAGTACGCCTGCAGCGGTGGTGCGAAGCACAGCTTTGCAAACAGCTCAGCAAAGAGCAGGTCTGCAGCGTCCTTCGCCAGGCGCACATCTTCGAGGCCACGCAGCTCGAGAAGGCCTGTCTCTCCTACGTCAGAGAGAACCTGGCAGAGGTGCTCAAGCTTGAGGCGTATACTGATCTTATCAGCAAATGGCCCGAGATCGCATTGAAGATTCAGCTCTTTTCAACCGGTGTGCCAGAAGCCGAGGCAGCGACAATCTTGCAGGCCCGTAAGTTACGAAGGTTGGAGGATGGGACGGAGAAGACGTTGTAAGGAACTACAAAGAGCCCATCCAACCCATATCGGTGACCCTGGGCGGATTTGGAATCCAGCGGACCTCTGCATACTTCTGTGGGTGTTCCCACAACTCGCTCGGACATTTGTGCGCGCGGCCTTCAGAAAAATCATCGGAGCCTTGCCACGTAAAGTAGTTGAAGACTCCGACTCCTCTAAAAGGCCAGAAGTGCTGAAGCCCTGAACCACAAACTTTCAGCCCCGAAAAGTCCTACAGCGTGGTGACTAGAATCTTGGGGTTTCCTGCCACAGCACATGTGACAGAGTGTGAAGGAGTTTCTGTAAACTGTGGGATCCAAATATATGTCTAAATGATAGGATCATCGATGGTGAATATTCCTAAATAGACCTTGCCTTCTGCCTCAAACATGCAAGCATGCGTCTGCATCGTTAAGGAAAAGATCCCAACAGCACTGCCAAGATGTAGGATGCAGCCACGGTCCACGGTTTAGTAGTTCGGGGACCCAAATCCCGAGTCCCCAGAAAAAGACAACCAAAGCCCTGTTCGGTTCATCCGCCAGCGGCTCTTGAATTCAGAGCCTCATGCACCAAAAAACCTTCGACGCTACAATTCCAAGAGCCCCACGGCCCCAGAGAAAACGTGTACTTTGGCAATATGCCTCGAGCTGTAGAGTTTTAGAGGCCCCAGCATGTCCTGCGATATGTTCCTAGATCAAAAAGGCTTTGGAGGCTCTGGGAACCCGTTGCGCATTCCTACAATGCTTTAACACCCTATAAAATCCCCGTAACACCCCGCGGCACACTATAACCCCATATTTTGAAGCCCTATACCCTCTTAAAACATCATAAAACCCTTCCACCTCCTAAGAATCCCTAAGCTCTAAACCCTAAACCCTACCATCCCTAAAACAAAACCCTACCATCCCCAAACAACCCCACCCGAAGCCCGCAGCAGGTGGTCTTCGCCCGGCGAGAGACCAAAACCACCGAGCAAAGGATGCTGATCTCCAAGGACTTCGGAGGGATCTGTGGGGGGTTTAGGGTTTATATAGGGGTTTAGGGTTTAGGGTTTAGGGGTTTAGGGTTTAGGGTTTAGGGATCTGTGTCACCTTTTTCATGGTTCCCCCGAAAGAATAAACAGACCGGCTAGTAGACCTTCTTAAATAGTTCCTACTAAGGGATATAGGTATAGGGCTCTGTCTATTACTTCTAAAAGGACAAGGGTGATCTGCCGGGGGTGTAGTTGAGGCAGCAGAACTCAGGCCTGAACATCATAGTAATAGAGGGGCCCAAATAGTTACCAATACTATTTTGGGGGTTCCTTATAACAATTATAGTATAATGGGCCCCAAAACCCTATTCTGATTATTAAGGCCCCTATATGAATAGTCTTCGCTAGGTTTCCTTGTGCCATTCATTGCATTGTTTGCGCTATTCAGATATGCTGATGTGGCGGTTTCTGCTTTTGTCCTTCTGGCCTCTCTTCAGTTCCTTGTAACTTAGGGGTACTTAGAAATATTTTTTAATTTTTGGTTATTATAGTACCTAAGAAACAGCTAAAGTTATAATTTTTGCTAGGGTCCTAAGTTCAGAATAGCCTCATGAGGGCAATCAGCGCCGGGACCGGAAAGCCGCACCCTTCAGCCACAAAGCCCAAAGGAGGCCCCAGTTGTGCCAAAACCGTGAAGCTCTTGTCCTGGAGCTGCCCGGGTGGCTAAGCAGAAAGCCCTTAAAGTAAAAGCCAGAAAGTTGGAATATGATTATCCTAAACCCTTTATGGTACATTATAGGGTATCCTACCCTGAAACCATATTCCAACTTTCTGGAGTTCCCTTTAACCCCTGAGCCCCCATCCTGTTGCACACCCGAGGCTTAGACCCTGAGTCCTAAGCATAATCCAAGCCCAAAATTAGATCCCTGTGCAATTTGGCAGGACCGCTTTCAGCTGCTTCACGTCGCTCTCCTCAGACTCTCGCCGAAGCTGAGGCAGTGGAACCCGAACAATTATTGCAGCCAAAACTATTGCATTTCTTTACGGAATTGACGATCCACGCCGTCATTAAGATTGTTGGTATTGCTATTCATGTCAGTAACAGTATATCTATTTTTACTGCTTTGCCATTTAAAGCCTCGCAGCTATGTCATATTGTCTGGTGTTGCTATTCTTCTTTCCACAGTATGATAGCTCGACTCGACGACCAACACCTCAGGAGAGTACATGGACCTCGAGTTTGCGAGCAACGCAGCTGGGGGACGGTATTCCTACAGCCTGGAGAGGGTCATCGATGAGCCTGGGAGTAAAGAGGGTTTATGGGGTTTAGAGATTAGGATTTTTTTTGTGTTTTGTAAGGCTAGTCGGGTTTAGGGGAGAGATGGCTCTCTGATTCAGGGATTGGTGGCTTATGGTGGCGAGGATTAGAGTTTCTCATTGCTGGTTTTGAGATGCGCTTGTGGCATTGAGAGGCTTTCGGTGAGGGCATTGCTTGATTTCTAGTGCTTCGTGGCTGTAGAGCTCGACACCTTTAAGATCATGATCTGTTGAGACAAGAAGCAGGCTTTACATTTGGGATTTTGGTGAGTGTGTATCGCGCCCCATGGTCAGGTTCCCAGAGAGCCCAATACCCCTTACGTAAGGAATATGGCTTAGATCATAATATGTCCCCCCTTATAGTTTAAGGTATATTCCTTAACTAAGGCGTATTGGGCTCTCTGGGTTCGTTATGAATGGGTAGACATGACTAGGATTACAGGCCCTGCGCTACTTCACAGAGTGCCGCCAACCACGAAACCGTCAATCCTTAGGAGGAGATGACTGTCTTATGCGTTGCTGCTTTTAAATTGCGAGGTCGTTATGCCCTAAACCTACCTTAAGCCGGAATAACCTACCGTTTTAGGGTTCCTTATTATGAGTGCTTTATATAGTCCTTAGAAAGGTAGGTTATTCCGGGTTAAGGTAGACCCTATTAGCCCTCAAAGCCCGAATCTCGAAAGCCTGAGCCTAGAACAGTAACTTTACACTCAAAGGAACATCTTAACCCTAAAGACACCCGAAGCCTTAACGCAGGAATCCCGAAACCCAAGGCCCTGCACTCAAGCAGCCGAGGATTTCATCCTCTTCTGCATTCTGGTGGGTAACGATTTCCTGCCCTGCTTGCCATTTGCAGAGATCGGCGAGAGTGGGCTGGAGTACTTCTTCAGTGCCTACAAGGTTCTCTGTAGTACAGAGTTCGGAAGGGTTGAGGTTTTGTGGTTTTCCACAGTTTTTACAAGGTTTGATACACTCATGTTGCTTGCTTGCACATTGGGCTTCATCGAATGCATATCGGGCTTGCAGGGCCCAGCAAGCTCATGATGCTTTAATACAGGAACATGGGAGTTTCCAAAAATAGGGGGCCCCAAAATAGTTCCCTAAATATTAGGATCCTTATTATAAGGACCCTAAAGTAAGGTACCCTAATTTTCGGAAACTCCCATATGCCACATGTTGCAAAGGGGTTCTGAATATGACTTCCAGGTAGGCATAGTCTCAGGAGATTTTGGGCGTCGACCGACTCATATGGGCCGTTTAAGCAAGAAGCCCCCCAAAAGCCCCAAACCTTAAATCTTCCGAAGCCCTAAGCCCTATAATCTGTAATCTATCGTAGCTTAAACCCTCTGAGGCCCCAAACCCTGAACCCTCTAAAGCCCCAAACCCTCTTGTCTAAAGCCCTGAGCCTCCCCCTTCCGGCCGCCAGGAGCACCTGAAGTCTGCAGCAGCTGATCCGTGGCTCACAGGAGGTTGTGGGCAGATCAACTTCAAGCAGCACCTTTCTGGCATTTTACGACCCGGGGCCGAGGGAGTTTTGGGGGCGTTCGGGTGCTTTGGGTTTAGCAAAGGGGCCTGAATAACTACCAGCTACTATTGTGGGGGTTCCTTGTTATAATTATAGTATAATGGGCCCCAAAACCCTATTCTAAATATGAAGGCCCCTACATTATGGGACTCCAGCATTTTTGCTGACTGAGACTGAAGAGAGACTGTTGAGGACTCAGTGTCCTCGTAACCCTTGTAGTGGCACTTTTGGTGCCTTAGACGTAACCCTGCAGTAAATCGTATGACGTTCAACCTGGACTCGCCTCGATTCCAGTATCAGACGCTTGAAAGTCTTTGACCTGGGAATTCCTCAGAAGTCATTATTTGTTGTTTTTATAGTATACACCCGAGGGCTTATTGCAATCTCTATTATGAGTCTAGCGGGCGCGTATGCTGACATGCAGGCCCCAAACACCTTTCACTCTACTTTCGCGCACCCACGACCCTTATTCAACGCTAAACGCAGTATACCTTAAACCTTACATTCTAAACAACCCGAGTAGCCCTTGAAGAGTAGCCCGTATCATAGCCCTACCAGGCTGAAACCCTAAAACCTAAACCCCCCCAAACCGTAAACCCTTAACCCGAAATCCCGAAACCCTATACCCTGAACCCTGAATAACCTACCTTGTTAAGGCTCCCTATTAAAGTTTCCCTATATAAGTCCTTAAAAAGGCAATACCCTAAACCCTAAACCCTAAACCCTAAACCCTGAACCCTCCCAGGCTGGCGCGGTTCTTGAAAAAGTATGCGGAGGTTGAGGATGGACTCCTCACGGCAGCCTGCGACGGCGGCGAGTGGGTGCTCGGATGCCCGGTGTTGGAAACGCCGGAGAAGTGTGAAAACCCAGTCTTCAAAAGCCTACTAAGACTTCGGGAGCTCGCTTAGGGTTGCATAGGTGTTTCAATTGGTACTGTATGGCTTTATGGGGATTTATTAGGTATTAACTGATAGTATGCTCTTCTCCGGGATCTTTAGGCAGAATGTTTGTGGCCTGGGGTCACAACTTCAGCGGGGAGCGTTGCATGGAGGGCACCAGGAGGTAGTGCTTCAGGGTTCATGCTTTGATCATCTTGAAGCACAGGGCTACATAGATTTCGGGTTGTCGATTCACAACGCCCCAAGCGATCCAATCTCCCCAATCCACCAAAAATCCGGCAAAGACCGGCGAAGCCCAAACTCCTTAACCCCAAAGCCCTAAACAACCTTCATAAACCCTGAACCCTAACCCTAGACACAACATGTTCCCCCCCTCCCCCCCAACAAACACAAAAAGTGACTCTGAACCCCTAAACCCTAAACCCTAAACCCTAAACCAGGAAAGCAGCGCTTGGTGGGGCCCTCCGAGGCCCCTACGCCACCCGAGTACACGCCAGACCTTCCCATCGAACCACCGCCCACCTCCGAGTTGGCCCGCGTGCAGCGGCTCGGCTTGGGGTTTAGGGTTTAGGGTTGAGGGTTTAGGGTTGAGGGTTGAGGGTTCAGGGTTTAGGGTTGAGGGTTTAGGGTTTAGTTTAGGGTTTAGGACTTAGGATTTAGGGTTTGTTTTTTAGGGTTCAGGGTTTAGGATTTAGGATTTAGGGTTTAGGGCTTTTCCAACAATTACGGACCCGACGTAAGCAGAAGCATTTTTTCGGGATATCCCTACCTTATTGGGCTTCAAAACAAGGGGGTTTATATGGGATGACACCATCTTTACTTTTGCTTATGTGCTTTTTTGGGGCCCTAAACAAGAGTTCTAAGTGGTTTCTCTCTCTCTCTCTACTTACTTGGAGGATCATGGGACTTAGTAAGTAAGGCTATAAGTACCTTAATTGGGGTTATAAGTATAGTTACCCTAATTATAACCCTAGTTACTAAGTCCCATGATCCTTTAAGTAGGGGTCTTCAGGCTTAGGGTTTAGAGCTGAAGTCCTAAACGCTAAACCCCTACCCCAGCCCCTAAGCCCTAACACCTAAACCCTTTGGTCTTTTTAGGCCGGCCCGTGGAGAGTAGAGTTTTCGGTCAAGCTTAAAACCCCCGCGCAGTCTATGTTTGTTTGGTGGTTCAGGTTATGCTTGCTTTTACTGTTTTGGCTTCTGTAGGGTTTTAGGCTTCAGGGTTTCCGTGTCTGTATGTCTTGCGGAGGTGGTACGAGATCAAGTTCGGCATGGATGTGGACACGCATGCAGGCGTGCAGGATCAGCGAAAGCTCTTTCAGTCGTACCTGGAGGGCCTGCATTGGGTCATGAGGCGCGGGATCTCGAAACCGTCGTCCGAAACCTTAAACCCTACCCTAAACCCTACCTAAACCCTACTTAAACCTACCTAAACCCTACCTAAACCCTACTTAAACCTACCTAAACCCTACCTAAACCCTACTTAAACCTACCTAAACCCTACCTAAACCCTACCTAAACCCTTCCCAAACCCTACCCAAACCCTACCTAAACCCTACCTAAACCCTACCTAAACCCTACCTAAACCCTTCCCAAACCCCACCTAAACCCTACCTGAACCCTTAGACCCAACACCCCGTAGTGTCAGATGGTGAGTCGAAAGCAGGCAGCCCAGAACCACCGAAGGCCCACACTCACACTCCAGACACCAAGAGGGTTTAGGGTTTAGGGGTTTGGGGTTTAGGGTGATAGTTTTGATTATTGTAGACTATCACCCCAAACCCTACTGAAATTATTGAGGCCCCTATATTACACCCCTAACACAAAACCCGACTCAATACCCCGAGCCGAACCTTCAACCACAAACCTGAGTTGTGCCCGAAGTCGCTTCTACCCGAAATCCCAGAGTTTTATGCGGGACAATAATTTGACAGATAGTGACCCCTTTATGGTAGAGAACCCTTATAGTCAGTAACCTTACAGAGTAACCCTTAACTTACGGCAAACTCTCCATGCTAAACCCTGAACCTCAAGCCTTGCGAGAGGTATTACTTCCGGGGGCCATCAGAGGCTTCCTGGAGACTGGTCCTATGAAGATGTTCTTTCTTGAAGGGTTTAGCGTTTAGGGGGCTTTACGGGGTGTGGGTGCCTTTACGAGGATGCTGTCAGGGTAAGATAACAAGCTGCTATCGCGGCTGCAGTAATGTAGGCTTCTACGTGAGTGATATGTGTATAGGGATATGTGTATAGGGATTTGGGATTAGTGCTTAAGGCCTAGCGTTATTGGTTCAGTTTTGTGTTTCGTGTTGAAAGCAGTGGGGTTGCTATAACGGTGTCCTATGTCAGTTTCGGCTTTTGCGATGGGGCTTCGACCAGGCCTTTCAGTACCGGGATTTTCAGAATATGTAGGACATGAGGGGGCGAATTGAGGTTCTGAGCTAGCTGTCTTAGAAGGGGTTCGGGTTTTTGGTTTTTTTTGGGGTTTCGGGGGGGGGGGGGGTTTTGTGGCCTTGGCGGTTGAGGGCCTCCATCCTCGCATTCAGATCAACCCAAAACCCGCAGACTTTCATCGGGGCTGAAACCCTGAAGCCTCAAGCCATGCATTGAGACACTAAGCCCTGAACCGTCAACCCTCGACCCTACAACCAACCCTCCACCCTAGCCCCTAAACCCTAAACCCTAAGGGTTTAGGGTTTAGGATTCTTGCTTTCTTTCTTCAGAGACCGAAGCCCAAGGAGTTGGTACTATCCATACTACCACGCGCCCATGGCCTACGACCTGGCGCACTACGACAAACTTCCTCAGCCCGGGATCGAACTCGAGGCCCTCGGATCCTGCGCCGATTAACTTAGGGGTACCTTAGGGTTCCTTTAAAGGTTACCATAAGGGTACTCTGAGGGTTCCTTTAAATAGTAACTGCTATAGTAACCTCTATAGTAACCTACTATAGGTTGCCTTATAGAAGCCCTTAGAGTGCTCCCCTTGCAGTAGCCCGCATAGTAACCCTCATGGTACCCTTCATCGAAAGCCTGGTGGAACTCTTGAAACCGCTTGCAGTAGACACGACAGTAAGCCGTGTAGTATCCTAGAGTCACCCGTAGAGTAGCCGTTATACTAACCTGGATAGGAGTCCGCAAACCTTAGCCATCAGAGCTTACCATAACAAGGATCTAGGCTTTAAAGCTTGTCGGGAAGGGCGTGAGGTCGAGGACTGCAAGGCCTTAAAGAGGTCGTCAGGCAAGGTTCGGTATACCAGAGTAGTTGTACAGATTAGAAAGGGATATTGTTACAAAGTATCCCTGAGCCCTGAACCCTACAGCAAAACACTGTGAAGCCTAAGTTCTTGTTGGGAATCCTTTGGAGAGAGGTGGGGCAGCCATTCCGTCCGTTCCAGCAGCTGCTGCTTGCCCTGCAGTTCAGAAGAACGTAGTATAAGGTAAGAGTGGCCTGAATGGGTTTGAGAGGGCCCTTATTGGGGGTTGCGCAAGGTCTAGAAACAAACCATAAGCCTTAAACCCTAAACTCTTACATAATACTGCCATGGACTTCGGCTCTGAATGGTGCAGGATCCGATGCAAGCGGTTTTGGGCTTCAGTTTGCCTGGGTTTCTAAGGGTTGCAACGTCTTGTAATCCCTGTATGTCACGACAGTATACCCCTCAGGGTTGTGAGGGTTCAGGATTTATCAGAAGGTCCCTCCCCATCTTACAAGGTTCGAGGTTCGAGGTCCGGGTAGAGAGCCGCACACATAGCAGGGACCTATTCCCCACCATTCCGAGGAGTCTTGCATGCCGTCAACCTGCATACAAACCGAACCTCGACCCTAAACCCCAAGCCCTAAACCCCAAACCCTAAACCTTAAGCCCTAAACCCTGAACCCTAAAGCCTAAACCTAAACCCAAGACATGACCAAACTGTAAAGCTGCAGAACCCCGGAGTCGCTAAACCCCTGAACCCAAAGACCTCTCAAGCCTAAACCCCTGGCCCTCAACCCAAATCCGTCCTCTCTAGCCACTGAATCCTGCGACCTTTTTTCATGGAGGATACCCTCAAGCCTCAACCCCACACGCTCAGTCTGAGACCTTTTTTATGGGTGGTTGTCGAAATTAGGGTCCCTTTCTGGGTACCGTAGAGATTAGGTGCCGTACCAAATAAAGGACCCCAAAAAGGGACCATAGTTGGGAGTTAGGATTAGGGGGACCCTTGGGGATATAGACCCTCTCAAGTAGGCCCCTTTTAAGAGAGCCAGAAGTAGGGTTCAGAAGGGGTACCCTTTAAGAGGTCTCCCTAACAACACGACCCAATAGTTTTGACAACCACCCTCATGAGGATGGCGGTCTTGCCCTCCAGCTCCAAGTCGCTGCTGCCCGCCTGCTTCCAGTGGCTCTTCGACTCCCAGGCGGGCGAAGGCTGCCACATTTCGTTCATACATAGGAGTTTAGGGTTTAGAGTTTAGGGTTTAGGGTTTAGGGCGTGCAGTAGTTACATAAGCAAAGGTGGGCACCGCGATTGAAGATGTCATTCGTCTGGGGAAGAGGGCTTTGGCACATTGTAGGGCCAGTAGGGGCTGGGACTGTGACGTTCCTGAGGCTTCCAAGGGCGTTGCATGGCCTCACTTTCTGCCTCCCTTCCCGTCTAGAGCTGTTATACCAAAGCCCCGCGAATGCTGGATGTCATCGCTGACGTGCGCAGAATTTGAGGGTCAGGTTTGGAAAACCTAAACCCTAAACCCTAAACCCTAAACCGTGACCACGAGGCTTCCCTTTGGGGCTGGAACACACTGTAACTTTCATGCCGTGGTGACTAGCTACACTTGTGTTGCTCTTTTCATTATGCCGAGGACCGTGGACTTAGCCAAGGCCAGCGTAAGAGCCGATAGCGGCAACAGCTTGATTCAGAGCTACTTGGAGGATCAGGGGACTTAGTAAGTATGGTCACAAATACCTTAATTGGGGTTATAAGTAGTTATAGGTATACTTACCTTAATAGTAAAACTAGCTACTAAGTCCCATGATCCTCCAAGTAGTAAAGCGGCATGAAGCTCCGGCTTTTTGGCTCGTGGTGGGTCCAGACAAGCTCCGTAGGGTGTAGGGTTTAGGTTCTTGTAGACGTTCCGCAACCTTCAAGCAAGACTGAGATACAAACTTCAGGCCACACAGTAGAGGTCAATCCTCTGGGCAGCGTACTCTTCCAGTTGTTGTCGATGCTTCATTTGGGATGCCTACAAGTTGGGTGGCTTTTTCTCTCAGTTCTTTCTACAAAGAAGGTCTAGATGCCTTCAGGACTTCGGCCTCTAAACCGCTGAACCCTAAATGCCCTAAATCTTGAAACAGCAGTAGAATCGCGTTGTAGCAAGGTCCCAGAAGCCGGACCTGAAAAACAAACCCAGTTCACGCATCCATGCCCTTAGCTTGCAGACCTCCCCAAGCCTCTAGCCCGGAAAGCTTGTCATAGCCTACCTCAATCCTGAACCCCTATCTCGAACGCAACGAAGCTAAGATCGGCGTCTTTGAGCCTAGCTTCCGACTGGTACTCGTACTGCTACTACTGGTATTACTACTACTACTACTACTACTACTACTACTACTACTACTACTACTACTACTACTACTACTACTACTACTGCAACACTAGTGCTACACTACTGCTACTACGACGACGACCACGATGACGACGACGACGACCACAATCACGACGACGGCGCCATGACGACGACTACTTCTAGTACTACGACCACAACTATTTCTGCGACGACTTCAACGACTACGACGACCTCCGTGACTGCGACAACAACAGCGAACTACTACTACTACTACTACTACTACTACTACTACTACTACTACTACTACTACTACTACTACCACTACAACTACTACAACAACAACAACAACTACTACTACTACAACTGCTACTACTACTACTACTACTACTACTACTACTACTACTACTACTACTACTACTACTACTACAACTACTACTACTACTACTACTACTACTACTACTACTACTAATACTACTAGTACTCCTGCTGCTGCTACTACTACTACTACTACTACCACTACTACTACTACGACTACGATTGCTCTTGTAACCATTACTGCGAGGACTACTCTTCCTAAGCCCTATGCACGTAGCAGCGACTCATCACAGCGCATTTCGCTGCATTGACATAGAGAGTAAAACAGGATTCGCCCATCCTCAGCTTCTACCCGCAGAAGTTACCTTGCATTTGCGTTTAGGGTTTAGGGTTCTTTGGTTTTGGGGTTCGTTTGATGGTTTCCGGGGTTCCAACGAGTGTTTATGGTTTTCTGTTTTCGGCATTGCTCCGAGTGCTTGGAATTTAGGCGCTATCGTTGGAGTAGGTCAACGATGATGACTTGTGTCAGCAAAAGTTTCTTTACTCTGCCTCAAATGGCTGGCTTCTTTGGTAGACAAAGATCCCGATCCCAGCAACTCCATTGAACTCTACTTGATGTCCTGAATTATTCGATAGACGTTGCTGCGTTTAAAGCTGTCGACCTTTACTCGTGAAGGTCTTCACTCACCCAACTCCCTCCAGGCAGTCGGCCTCTGTTCAGTCCCAACCATACTATCCTGCTTTGTTTCCGTTTCTGTGTGGTCACAGAAGCCACAATCCTGAGCATCAAACTCGCAACTCCCGAGCCCCGAAGAGCCCAGAACAGGCGCCTGGACAGTTGGCAACAGGAGCCGTAGGATTCCCAAATATGTTCACAGCATCAAAGTCCAAATCCACCAGAACCCTAGTGACCCGAGACCCTGAACCCTAGAACACCTAAATTTGACATCGTAAAGCATTCTACGCAAGAAAGATAATGCACCCTTACGGTTCCTTTGCAAACATAGCAGAAAAAGGCAACATCCGTTTTTATCGCTGCTGTTTGCACAGAACTTCATGTGAGGTTCGTGGTGGATATGGATGGGGTAAAGGTGCCCTGGGGAGGCATGACTTTGACGCTCTGGCTCGGTTTTGCGGTTTCAGACTTACCCTAAACCCTAAACCCTAATTACGGGCTTGGCATGAAGGGTTGTTTGCCGTCGATTTTAGGGTTTACATTTTAGGGGTGTGGCAAGTCTGTGTGGGTTGGTTTTGCAGGTGTTCCGAACTTATGTAGCTCCATGCATAGTAACTTTTGCGTAGAGTCGTGCGCTTGGCACCTAAAGCAATCACTTGGGTCCAGGGACCCTTTTGTTCGGAGCCATGCTTCGATGCCAAAGCCGCGCTGAGTGGAGTCTGGAGTTTGTGGTTTAGGTCTTCAGTAAGGTTTGGCTTAAGGTCTGGAGTTTGCGAGGTTCTTCCACCAGGTAAGGTCATCTAATCGTTACGAGAAGCTCGGTTTCAGTCCGTCTGCAGGTTTTTGTGGATGAAACAGAAGTTTCATGCTATTGCGGGCCCACCGAATTTCAGTTGAGGGGGTGAAGAAACCCTGAATGAAAACCCGCTGTGCGCCCCTTCCGTAAACCGCCTGTAAACAACCGTATTGCCCCCTGACTCCCAACCGAGAGCACGGGGCCAGGAGACTCACGAAATCCTTGATATAAAACCTACCTCATATAGTCACCATACCACCGGTAATGCCACCCAACCCTAAACCCTTAAACCAAAAACCTCAGAGAGCCACTAGAAGCCTTCACAGAACCATATTAAGCCTGTTTTCGAATCCGTATAGGGCCTTGTAAGCCCTAACCTCTCGCCCAGAATTCCTTTCATCGACCCGATGTCCCTGGTGTCGGCCATGGAGTCCTCGAAGCAGCAGATGCTCAGTAAGGCTTCGTGGCGCCGGGGCTTTTTAGTCCCTAATGAGGGAACAGGGTTTAGGGTGTTAGGGTTCAGGTTTGAGGGTAAAGGATGCGTGTCACGGGTAAATATACGTTGAATTATAGGGTGCTTCTTGTTGTGGTTCGGAGGTACATTCTTGAATCAAGTGGTTGGGCTTTCGACAGGTTCGTGCTTGCTCCGGGTTTGGGGCATGGGGGTGCATGTAAGGTTCGGGCTTTGGCGTATCGGCTTCAGCCCAATATCAACATCCAGAAATTAGCAGGGTATCTCTCACACAGGGCCCTTTAAAGGTTAGAATGGGGTTTTAGGTGTTGCATTACATCACGGATGATTCAACGCCAAGACCAAGCAGGATCCCGAGGGTTTTGTTGGAAGCTCGCCAGGCTGAAGCGATGGGTAATACTGGGCATTGATACTGGGAGTAGGGTTTTGCGGTATAGTCTAGTATTGTTATGTAGAGACTAAAGGAGCAATAGCATGGATTATTTAGGATTCGGTACTACTGCTAATTCCTGAACCCTGTGCTGCAGCAAGTATCTCGTAGTTCGCTCGCAAGACTCGTTGATTTCTGATCAAGTTGGCTTTTCTCGGAAAATACTTGACCCAAATATTGATCACAAGTTTAGGTGGAATTTATATCCTGAATCCCGCCCAATATAAACTTTCCTTATCAAGTTGGATTTTCTCGGAAAATACTTGGCTCAAGTACTGATCACAAATTGAGGTGGAATCTATTCCCTCATGACAGCCTTGTAAAACACCCAAGTGAGGTACCACCTAAGTTCATGATCTCCCGTCAACACGCCCCCCCCCCCCAACTCCACCGCCCTTATGGGAGGCCGAGGAGCAGCGGAACGAGTTTCGCAACGCCTGCACCCTCAGGCTCGTGGTCCGTGGTCAAGACTCCATGGGCACTATAGGGGCTTCCCAGGTTTAGGGTCTGTTGGGCGTTGTAGGGCAGGATTTCTGAAGGTTTCATTGGATACAAGGGCCAAGGTTTTAGTGGGTAATGAAATGGCCAGAGGATATGGACATCTGCGTATGAGATCTCCTTGATTTTCTGCTCAAGTGTCAGCATAGGGCTCAGGTCGCAGAAGCTGCAGCCTACGGGCTATAGGGGAAGAAGTCGAGGCGCTTCAGGTCCTCCTTTAAGGTTTTCCCTTTGTTCCTTGAAGCATACCAGTAAAAGGGGTTTGTATCATGGGAACTGCAGGGCTCTACTTGGAGGGTCGGGGGACTTAGTAACTGGTTATTTTAGGGACTTACAAGTACCATAACCCCAATTAGGGTCCCTTTTAGGGTACTTATAAGTCTACTTACTACCTACTTACTAAGTCCCCCGACCCTCCAAGTAGGGGTTTTCTAGGCCTCCCAGGTTCAAGGTGCTGAGCTGAAGATTCCAAAACCCTTCCATTGAGGGATGTACCCTAAACCATGTGGGAATTTCCGAAAACAGGGGACCCTAATATAGTACCTAAATAGTAGGATCCTCATTATATAAGGACCCCGAAATAAGGTACCCCTAATTTTCGGAAACTCCCATGTCAGCAGATCCCTTCTTAATTTAAAGGCTTTTACCTAATGAAGAGGCTGTTACAGGGCAATAGAGGAACTCTTACAAGAACCCTTGAAGAAACCTACTCGGAAAGCATTAGCAGGAAACCCTAAACCATCCTAAACCCTGAGCCATCCCACACCCCAAACCCTTTAAGCCCCGAACACCAGACCGTAAACCGGAGGGGGGGCCCTAAACCCTTGAAGCCCCAAACCCCAAACCCCAAAACCCTTGAAACCCCAAACCCTACACCCTTTAAGCCGGCTGGGTTTCCCTGCGAGTCTCCGGGAGGTACGACATGAAAGCGCAGCAGTCGCTGGCCAGTACCTGGAAGGGCAAGTATCCCGACCTTGTGAACTGCCCCGTGAGGTGCCTGGGCTTTGATTTAGGGTTTAGGGTTTAGGGTTTGGGGTTCCTGTAAAGGAACCGCTTGTAGAACCCTTAAAACCTTGAAGGAGCCTTTAGAGGGCCCTTTCTAAAGTTTGATGCAACCAAGGGTTCCTGCAGGTTTTTTTTTAGAGGGCTGTTTAGATGTCCCTCAGAAGGGTTCTATGCAGGGCTCCGTGCAAGAGCTTCATGCAAGGGCATATAAGGTTCTAGCGGGGTTCAGTGTTTGGGGAATGGGATGTGGGTTTCCGAGGATCATTGGTTAACTAACGAGAATTTCAGGGTTTGAGAGTTTAGATTTCAGGATTCAGGGGCTTAGGGCTTTTTGCCTTGTCGGTTTGAAGCCTTCATTGATGTGGATTCCAGGCCGGAACTCAGAACCTTGAAGCCTGAACAAGCTCAAGCACGCATGCGCCGAGAAACAGTTAATAACGACCAAACCCTAAAACCCCCAAACCCTTAAGCCCCCAAACCCTTAAACCTCTTAAGCCCCAATCCTTAAGCCACCTAAAACCCTATAAACTCGAAACCCCTAAACCCTCTGCCCTTGAGCCCGAACCTGAAACCTTGAGCCGCAAACCCCAACATCTTTACGGTACCAAAGTACCTTAATTTGGGGTTATAAGTGGATATGATATAGCTATAGTTACCTTACTTATAACCCTACCAACAGATCACATAAACATAAGGAGCTTTCCGTTTATCCTCCCCATATCACTGGACTATAATCTACCCAAGCCCGACTAATCATTGAGGCCACGTTTTCAGCCCTGCATTAAAACGGACCCCCTAAGATACCGTAGTTTAGAGAAGTACCCAGATCCTAATCCGCAAAACCCTATACTCTCGAGCCAAGCTCCGAATTTACTCCAAACCTCTTTATCCTACACCCTATAACCCCCAAAGCCACCCGTAAACCCCAACTCCTACCAGTAGCCTCGAAGCCGTGAACCCTGAACCCTGGAGGCCAAAACTTAAAGCCATATCGGGGCCTTAATGGTTTTTGGAGTTTTTATTAAAGCTACAGTATAATATACCCTTCAAACCCTGTTCTAATTATGGAGACCCGAGGATTGCCGAGTTCACGCACCCACCTCTCCCATCGGGGGTTGATCACTTCCCGAACTATCTTCTGCCGGGCGCGAGAAGCCAGGATAAGCGGTTCGCAGTTTGGGGTTCTTGGGTTTTTGGGACGTTCAGCGTTTCAAAAAGTTTAAGGTTCAGGCTGTTAGGGTTCCGGGTTGCAGTGCTTTGGCCTGGGTTTGCAAGACATGGGGTGGTCTAGGGGTCTTCGATCTGGTAAGGGCTCTGCAGGGGCATTGCATTCAGGGCTTCAGGTTTCTTGGAGTTAAAGCAACAAGGATCCCAGCAAGGGACCCCCATACCCTTACACCCTGACACCCCTGAACCCTAAACTCTAAAACCGCTACTTGCGGCCTTGCAGGCAAGTTGAGGATTTTCCATGAGTAGTGTTGGAGTATTTGGGCTCACGCTTTCAGTTGAAGCGCTGAGCGTTTGGGTTTGGGGTAAGGTTCCTTGCGCAGAAAAATTTCACATCATGTGGCGAATTTGACTCCTGCGTCCACACATGTGAACATCAAGCCTCAAACTCATGTCCAGACTCCACAAAGCCGAACCTGCAATCTCAAACAGTAGGGCCGCACCTTCAACCGTAAACTGCCCCAGCCGGGATGCAAGAACGGCATCACCAGACTAGCGCACCTATATCTTCTGCCCCCCTCGACCATGGTGCCATTGATTCCAAGTACTGTTAGAGTCAGCGCCAGCGCTGTTGCTGTTGTCATCGGGTTAGTTCCAGTGCGCTTGCTGTTACAAGCATCAGTATTAGCCACTATTCACGCACACTCTTGCTACTACTGGTTCCAGTCTTTGTATCATGTGTAAAGTTTCCCAAGTCAATCCGAAATCCTAAGCCCTGACCTCCAAATTCCTTAAACTTCAAGCCTTGGGCACTAAACCCTTAGCTCCTAAACCTCAAGCCTGACTCCTAACCCTAAATCCTGAAGTCCTAAACCCTGAACCCTAAGCCCTAAACCCTGAATCCTAAAACCCTGAGCCCTAAACCCTAAACCCTAAACCTGAAGCTTAACCCAAAATCCGAAAGCCCTACATCCGCGCAGGACTTCGGATTTCCGACGCTGCACGCTCACCCCTTGACTCACAGCTTCGAGGTGCCACGGCGAGTGGCACAAGAGTTCGGGCCTTTTCTAAGAGGAGGGTTCTACAAGGGTTCCTGAAAGTCCAAAGGGGTTCAAGAGCTTTCTATACGAGTTTTGTAGGTTGTTGAGATTTTCTGATAGACATTCATGGGGTGTTATGGATTTGACAGGGTTTATACATCTATAGAGGTTCTGTAGGGGTTCTGTACAAGGGTTCTTTCAGGGTGTCATCATGAATCAATTTCGGTTTTGTAGTGAATCCAAGCAGGATTTAGGCCTCTTCGGGCTTGGGGGTTTGGGTTTTAGGTTTTTGGGACCCAGGCAAAGCCCACAAACCATGTAGCCTCAGACCTATGCCAGAGCCCCCCGCAGGCTAGAAAAGGAGAACCGGGGCACTCAAAGCAATCCCAGCCGTCATCGCTAAGCCTCATGGGCCACTGCATACTCACAATAATTTCATACACCGAAACCAAATCTTATACCCCCAAGCAGTAGTCCTTAAACCCCAAACGCCGGAAGTGCCTTCCACTCACAGGCTGGTGTGAAAGTCTTCCAGTTCGAAGCGCGCGGGCTGTCGCTGATCCTCCACCTCCGTCCCGAAGCGGTCTTTGAGCCTCCGGCCCAGGCCTCCGCGGGTTCTGATACACCCTAAACCCTGGGGCCGTAGTGGTTGTTAGTATTGGTCATTTAGGGTTCTTTGTTGTGGTGATAGCATAGGTAATCTTGTTTATTTAGTGTTCTTCGTTATGGTTATTGTCTACTACACCTGCGGAGCCTATCTTGATAGTGAGTTTGGCCCCATGTTACAGGGCTAAAAAGGGGGGGTTCTCCGTGGTTGAGTAGGTCAAGCCCAAAAACCCTGTCAAGGGCCTTGGGAGTGGGTAATCTAGGGGCCTTGCTACTTACCTATACTATTTTGGGGGTTCCTTATTATATTTATAGTATATTTTTAATGGGCCCCCAAACCCTGTTTTA